CACAAAGACAGACAAGGAGACAGAAAGAAGGGATCAAGCCCAGGGAGGCTCACCCTAAACCCCTAAACCTTTAACCCTAACCCCCGCCTCTGATTCAGAATAGGTCTTAAAGGGCAGGGATGATTTCGGCAGGATTGGGCCCAATGTGTTTTTCTTAGTAGGGGGGTGTTTAAGCGATTAAGGTATATCAAAGTAGGGATCCCACTATAATTTAAATATGTCCCTTAATCAAGGGTTTTTTTGGAAGTGCTGCTTGGAAGCTATGAGATTCCCCATGGTGCTGATCAGCGTGGCTGCGGTTATCAGGGATCGGAACGCGATGAACCTGCTCGGGGCCACACTTTGGAAAGAAAGGCTAGGTTTTGCTTGCTGCGGGTTAGGGGATGTAGGGATAGGGATACTGAAAGATGAGGGATCAAGGGATGGTCCACGGGCCTACTCTCTCACAGCCTGGAAAAGCCTGACAGGGGGGGGGGGGGACATATACCCCTTACACTATCTTACAATAAGGATCCTAGCATTTGGAGTCCTGTTTTGCGATCTTCCATTTTCAGAAACTCCCATGCGCCCCCACTCTGCCGAGAGGTGCATCAAGTGCATCAACGACTTCACCCAGCAGGAAACTGCCCCAAGCGCTATAGGACCCCAACCCAAATGATTGAAAGCGGGGCGTTTGTCGGTCCGAACAGAGACTGCAGAAACAATAAGGCCCATGCATTCCGGGTTTTAGAAATCCTTGTTGGGGAAATCCGGAAAGCCTGGGCATCAAGATTCCCGTGCATACGTGGTCTTGTGGGCTTTCCACCGCAAAGATAAAGACACTCTCAAATGCAAGACGTAACCAGAAAGTACCAACCTAGGATCTCCCAACACTGTCTCTTGAAGCGAGTACATCCACACATTTCACCCAAAGAGCCTACTGTTTTAAGTTTGGTGGAACTTTAGGCTTCTAAAGTTAGAGCTTCCCCAAAGCTTCCATGTGCCAACATACTAGTTTTTTTTGGGTTAAGGGTTTATAGTAGGGTTTAGGGTTTAGGGCTTAGTACTAAGATTTTGGCCCCCGAAGTAGATGCTGTGCTATAACTTTGGCCCTTTGGGTTCACTCACCATTGTAGTTCCTTTTTTGCGGGTACCTTACAGGATCCTAAAATATAAAGATTGTTCAGCAAAAGCGGAATTATAATAGAGACTAGTTAGAGGAAAACCGAGCCCTAAACCCAAAATCGTCGTAGTGACGTAGCTTAACAAATTGGGAGAGTATCTGAGTTTTGGAACGTGGACCCTTATATATTAGGGTTAGAGCTTCAGGCAAAAGACGCGCACAGGAGCAGCTCGATGCTGTTGGTCGGAGGCAGCACGAACTCACCCACACCAAGTTGAGCGAAGGACCTTTGTAGAGGTGGCCTTAGGGGGCCTTACGAATTAGCATTGGGTTCCTTGAAAGGGTTACTATGAAGGCAATTACAGAGTAGGATTTTTTCATGTTGGGCGGTGTGTTATACTACTACTATTCCGAATCCTATGATAAGGTACCCCCAGGAATAATGTCAGGGCACAAGCTTCGCATTGAGGGTTCGGGCACCTCGGATTTAGGGGTTTACGGTTTGAGGCGTAGGAGGTTAGGGTGTAGTAAGGGAAGCAGTGCGCACGCCGAGAGTGCAAAGCCTTCCTGAAGGCAGACTCTATAATCCTGTCCCCTTTGAGTTGGACTTTAACATCAATACCAGGTCAGATGAGTCACACAGCTTTCCAAAAAACACATGCCATTTGGGGCAAGGTCGCGCATGCGCTTCAAAATCAGACGGTGCAATAAAATGGGCTAATCCTTGGCGTTAGAAGCCCTAGTTGAGGGTTTAGGGCTTCGCGTTTTCGTCAAACTCTCTAGCATTGAGCCCTTGATGCCAGAATTGCTCCGAATCGTCAATCCTAAACCCTAAAACCCTAAAGCCCTAAGCCCTAAACCCTAAACCCCAAACCCTAACATCCCAACCATACGCCCTGAATCCTGCACCCTACTAAGCAGCTTGCCCTTTCAACTTCGATCTCCTTGCAAGTGAGTCAGGGCTTATAGAGCTTAGGGTTTAGGGCTTAGGGCTTAGCTGGCACATAAGGCCCTCGTGTTGTGATCCTCAACAGCCCACCAAGCACGTCCCGATCCTCTTAAGCAGTTCCCGTTTGGGGCCCCTAAACGCTAAACAGACAAAAACCTGACCGTGCCATGGGCAACGCAGCCTCAACCCCCCAGACAGGTTTCGTTTGTTGCCCCGGGGCTCCGGCCAAAGGATGCAAGAAAGGTACTGATAGAGTACCTCGGTGGAACATCAAAATAATTGTGGGGCCTGAATAGTTCGAGTAGGGCATCTATGCGTTCTCTACAGCGCCTTTACAGGTAGTATGAGGCCTTGACGATGGTATGTTAATGTTGCACATATGTTGTTAATAGGAAACCCGTAAGGAATACTATTACTGAGCATACCGGGCCCTGTACATGTTGCATCACAAGGCAGGGTTTGGGGCGATACACGGGTGTCGTGGATAGGCGGTACCACAACCATGTTTTGCGACTGTTCTGGTGTGCTGGTTGATGTTCCCATGCAACACAAAACAACAGGTGGAACATCCGCTTCTCCTGCCGAGTTGCATCGCGGTGCTTCAACCCACTAGCCGCCACCCAGTTCTCGCCGTCTGCATTGAGCCAACTGACACCGAACCACGCGCAGGCCATCCAATGATTCCTTGAGGCGGATCGGTGTGGATCGGAATGCACGTAGTCATAGTTGCACTTTACAGTCCCATAAGGAATTACTGAGGCCTCAACAATTGAGTAGAACGAGGTCTTGCGGTTATAAGTTGTACGCTAATTACGTTTCGGACTCATGGACAAGGCAGGGTACAAACAAAAAGGTACTACAGTTACATGCATCACGTTCTTTGGTCAGCAGCTGCATGCGCTGCCAAAGGCTTTGCCTGGCTCAACCCAAACCCAGAAACCCAACACTTGCGCCCTACCTATAGTCTCCAATGTAGTGCCTTTTTGTTGGTTTAACCAGCTATATATAATTAACGTAAGACTTGTAATATGCCTTATAAGGATCTCAAGAATAAGGCCGCTTTCATAGAGAACTGTGATTGACATTGTGTACAGCCAATGTCCATCAGCGTTGAAGACTGTGCCCTCTGCATCACATCCAGCTCGCGATTGCGTTGTGCAAAACACTACTTCTGAACACTTCGGTTTGCTTCGCCATGCAAAGGGGTTTGCAGCCAAAATTCAGCACGAGCAGTTGCCCAAGGCTAACGAAGAAGCTCAGGTAAAGGCTGGCTGCCTTGCAGGAAATCAGGCTGCAGAAGCCAAAATAGCTACCAAAAGTATTCCTTAGGGTTCCTTCTTATGAGTAGAGTATCATATTCCCCCCACAACCCGATTCTAGGTCTTAAGGCCTCTACAGTACTGAGGCGCATTGGCTACAGGAGCCGGGGGTTCGGCTCAGAGTTCGAAGAGGGGGATCAAAGGATCTGTAGTAAGGATCCCTTAGTAGGATTTATATAATATAAAACCAATAGCAATGACACTAGCAACAACAATACTAATGTCAGTAATGCTGGGAAGGATCTCAGGAGTGCAGGGATTACTGTCGAGGACTTGGAGCGGTTTCTGTTTGTAAGCTCTGCTGCCTTAGCTTCGCATAGTCATAAGCGACACCTGTGTTCAACGTATGCTCCAACCGCGGGTGCATTTAGGAATTACGGCTTGTCTAAGTGCTCCAGAATAAACTCATGTCATCATTCCGGTAAGCCTGTAGAGGAAAGGCCGATAATTAAGTCCCTCAACCACAGGAAGCCCTCAGAATCGCGATCCTTCGGATTTCTTCGCAGGATCGGGTTTAGGGTTGAGGGGGCTAGCGTCCCTAAGCCCTAAAATGTAAAGGCCATACTCTACTCACAAAGCCCGAAGAAGAGAGCTGCATGAAGCCGACCTTTCTCACGCATGTACTTAGAACAGCCTTTTTGAACATGCCCGGCAATGGTTGAATAAGGATTTAATAACGGTTCCAATTCAGTGGCCTAAGTCTGTGGAATACCTATAGAGATTATAGTGCTCTCCCGAAGTACGTATCTATAGTAGTATGTCAGGTTTCTAATTCTATGATAGGACTTACTACTATGATTCAGGAAAGTAGCCCCCAACAATAGTACATGGGACCCCGTGGCTTCAAAAATAGCCGTGCTGAACCGATACACTGCAGAACCCTCGGCTGAACCTGGGACATCGCCTGGCCTAAACAGTCTGGGCGTTCGGTGGGTGCAAGGCGGGGAAGCCTGTGACAGAACATATCATTCAACAACCCGAAGGGTCCAGATGCAAAATCAGCATAGTCTGAGGAGATACTGAAGCGGTTCCTATAATGAAGTTTCAGGTCAGGTTGTAAGTTATGACCTTCCCGAATAACTGAAGCCATACCATGCTGCAGCCATTTGGGGAGTTTTCAGGACCTACAGTACAGCAAAAACCGTCATTCTCAGGCTTACTTTAATTTTTCTTTCACTAACAAACCTGCGAAAGATGTGGAACCGCCGTCTCACCCACTGCGTGCCTGCGAATGGAGCAACTCCTGAACAGCGGCGAAACCTCGACGCAGCTTGATCGCTCGTGCGATCCGCACGAGCCGCATCAGTCGGAGCATGCGGAGAGTTCTGGACCTCAGCTATGGGGTTTGGGATTTGCACAAAGTTATGGGTTGAGGGTTGATGTTTTGACAGAACTTCTAGCATGAAAGGGGTTGTAAGACACTTCCGCTCAGCACCCCGTGTCCAACAGCATTGTTGCTGTTGTCATCGTCAGGAGTCGTGCTCGTCGCTCGAAGTGATCGAAGTACTGACGGTGTACGGGGTTACAGTCTCCGCACCTTTCGTGATGTGCACGGCGCTTGACTGACTCCTGTCACGACCACTGCCCGGGGAACATCCAACAATTTCTCTTCGTTGGGTTTCAAAATAGGGGTTGCCTGTAGAGGTCTTGAAGATTGTAACCGATAAACAGCCTATAGGGGCACTCTGGATAAGCCTGTGCAGGCTTGGGTTTTGGTTGCGGGTTTGCTTCGTAAGGACTTGTCTAGGTGGTGTTGAGACCCTCTGCAGCTACAGCAGAAACCACCATGTTGAAATGTTGGTACTGCCCACATGTAGCTCAAAACATCTAGTTGTTCAGCGAATGTGTAGGGGCCTGAATAAATAGAATAGGGATTTGGGAAGTACTCAGGCCACTACACCTGAAATTGGAAGGAACTCATGCTCCAGAGCGCTAACCATCTAGGCTTTTCGGTTTTCGGGCCCAAGGGACGACCTCTTCTGCCAACCGAGAAACCCTTGTGCTAGATCCTCAGGGCTCGTCAGCGATACTTTTGGTGCTGATTGTTAGAGTCAGGTGGAAGGGCATGGCATCTTCCTAGATTCGTGTATCAGTATTAAAAGAACCCGAACAAGGAAGACTATCGGGTATTGTTCAGGCTACTCAAGTTACAGGTCAGATCCAGCCACCACTCAGTTGCGCTTGCGTCGTCGTCGTTGTACATGACGTAGTCCACCTAGGTTCCGCTAGATTCCGGTCTTTGCATCGAAGCTTGCTGTAGTTTGGGCTTCAGAGTTGAGGGGTTCGCGGTTTTGGCTTAGTCCGTGATTACCAGGTTTAGTTTTCCCTTTAGGTTCTGGGGGTTGGGGCGCAGGGATTCTAGGGCCTAGGGTTTCAAGACCTCAACCAATTAGGCAAGGCCGGGGCGAGGGATGGGCTGGGACCTTGGCGCTTCATGTGATACTCTCTTCGAACCGCTCCCTGTGCATCTCTCTCTACGTAATATGAATGAATATAAATAAAAAAATATATACATATATATATATATATTAGTGTGTGTGTGTGTCTGTGTGTAAATATGTAAAAATACAAATACATGCATACATACATACATACATGCATGCATACATACATACCTACATACTTACTTACATACATACAGACAGACAGACACACACATACACAGACAGACAGACAGACAGACAGACCGACAGACGGACGGACGGACGGACGGACGGGCAGACAGACAGACAGACAGACAGACAGACAGACAGACAGACGGACAAACCGACAGACAGACAGGCAGGCAGGCAGGCAGGCAGGCAGACGGAGCACAATCAATCAATCGATACGTACATGCGTATGTATGTATATGTATGTATGTATGTATGCGTGTGTGTGTGTGTATGTATGTATGTATGTATGTATGTATGTATGCAGGTTCGTGTATGTGCGCCCGTGTGTGTGTGTGTGCATGTGTGTGTGTGTATAATATGTAGTCTATTTTCGCACATACATATAATATAGAGACCTTAAGGAAGAATTCAGCTAAAGCTGGGGGGGTGCAGTACAGCCCCGAAACGAATAGAGTTACTCAGGTGAGAGGGGGCACCCTTGGAGAATCAACAGTGGCCGTCACCGATCACCCGAGGCCGAAGTCGAGATGCATAGGATAAAGCCCTTCGAACCGAGCATATACGTGAAGCTAGAACGTATACAACATGTGTGCACGCAGTCCGTCCCATTCCAGGAGCAGGACTAGCACACGACCAGACAAGGAGAAACAAGGAATGATGAGTCCCTGTCAGCGCTGAACCCTGAAATCAAGCCCAAGCCGGACCCGTAGTCCTATATTATCCTAAATACCAGGGACGACATCGCACCAAGGAGACCCTGCCTGCAGCCACAAACTTTACAACATGGTAGGTTAAATTTGACCCCTTATGAAGGTCAGCTGTGATGTAAATGCAAAGATGTACCAGGTAAGTGCTTAGCCTGGACCCTTCTTATAAGAAGGGTCTTATATTTTTTGCGCTTGCAGCCCCAGCGGCGAAGAAGAAGGTCCAGTCCATTGAGATGAGACCTGGTTGAAGCAGGGCTTTGTGTCCTCGTTTTCTGAGCTATTATAGAAGCCCTGAATAATTACCCATGCTATCTTGGGGTTCGTTGTGTTCGTTATTATACTTATATCGTTATAGAATAATACATCTGCAAGATCCTCTTCTAATTAGTAAGGCCCCACTCTTCTTCTTTAAGCCCTGCATATTCAGGTCGTGGTGCCCAGATCGAAGATCATCCACGTCCTGGCATAGCGCGATGCCCAGGGCTCCAGTTACTTATATGGGTAGTTCTCTAACGAGTTTTAAGAACTAACTACTTACATAGTAGGCTTTTGGTTGGTGACGTGACCATGAGAAAAACATCGAAGCGACTGTTGCGACCCGTACCGGAAACCCTGTACACCCTGAGTCCTCGCATAGTGGCGCGCCACATTACACAAGGTCATGATCAGCCTCGGTTGCTCAGAGCTTCACGGACAGACTTACATTGACTAGGGACACACGTGCCCCGCACAGTTGGGCACACACTCTGTGGGGTTCTTACGTTTTGTGTTCACACCGTTGGTCAGTCTGTCCACGAAGCGCGCGAGAGTGGGTGGTGCACGCGGAATATTGCGCGCTGCTGGCGTGGCGCGGTGCATAGTTCGCGGTCCGTTCCATTATTTACAAAGTACCGGGAAAGCGCGATTGATTACAAATTCGAGTACATTGGCCTCATTTGGGCCTTTGCAACGTCTCAATCTCGCCAGTATATGTTGGGACATGTTGGTGTCTTTCGCCGTCATGTCTCTAAATCCCACCAATACATGCGGCGCAGTATATTTTGGCCGTGATCCTATATCCCATCAATATATTCAGGGATGTTGGTCATGTCTCTAATCTGCAAGTACATGGGAAGAAGACCGTGGTGATGAACCCTGGAAGTTTCGGGTTGTTTCATGTGTGGCATTTGTGGTACATGAATGAGGATTTAGGCTCAATCTGTGCCTAAAAGCTCTTCCGATTTGTCAGCCTGGACAGGGCGGTGACGAGGGAAAAGCTTTCCGACTGTCGCCGTTGTCAATTGCGGGGAGCGACAGAAAGAAAGAGAACAAGGACAGCGAATGCAAAGATCGAGACATGTGCCAAAGTCGTAGGGCGGAAATCCCGGAAGAGAGAACACACTATTTGTAACTCTGCTGTGTAGGCTCCTGCGTTCCTACTTTGCTGCTCGAAAACTCACGAGTTCCCTCTGAGGGTACAGTACCGTAGACCCATGATAAACGTCCCAAGGCAAGTCTAAGGGAACCTATGTCGAGACTCTAGAATCTAAAACTTTTGAGGTGTCGTTAGACTTTTGGTCTGTTTAGATATGGGGTCTGGGAATCCTACACCCGGGCCCTGCGTTCGGACGACGGTGTATTAAGTGTGAATTGAAAACCCATGTGCCATGGAAGGCTTACGAACGGCACTATAGCAAGGAGATCATGGTAATTAATGCTTGTAGACCGAGTCGTTGATCATGGCAGCGTAGATCCCTGAACAGTATAGAACTCCGCGACGGACCACGACGACCACGACTGCGACCAAACTTTTATTTCCTACCACCACGACCGTTACCATCACAGCCACCACGTCGAGTGCTACGACCCGACGACCACGTGGAGCCCATCAGGAGAACGCCAGAACATCATTGCCAAAACGCTTAACTGCTTTCCGCTGCTTCCCATTATAAATCCATCTGCAGAAGTGGTACTGGCCGCCATCATAATAGCCAGTCACGAAGGTCAAAACGAAGTCGATGTTCCAGAAACCTTCTACCGGGTGTTTTGCGACCCTTTGCCCTAAACGGAGCCTTACCCGGAGGCCAAATACACCCTGAGACCCCGAAACCCTATAACTGCTCCGGTTGTGTATTGTCCTTGTTGGCTAAGCGAAGCTTGTCAGACTTGCTTACAACCGATAACACTCGGCTGTGGCTCCAGACCCCGAAGCCACATGCTATTTTTTGTGCTTGACGGCATTCTTGGGTTTCTCTTGTAACATGTCGGGGATCAAGCTGGTGCTTAATGTCGCAATGATTTGGACTTTCGGCCGCGTCTTTGCGGGTGACATGTTCGCACAGGCCCACTTTTGCTTCATTGCGAGAACATCAGCTCAAGCCATGTGAGATAGCTGTGGAACCTTTCAGTCTCAGTAAACCCTTAGTAGAACCACTTCACTAATGCTGAGACTGTGAAAAATAACAGCTACTTCATGCCCTACTTCTGGAGCTGAAATGGCGTGGGCCTTGGATCGTCAAGTCGACGGCCTGCAAAACGGTGGATCGCGGCATGTCGAAGGCAGCAAGAGGTATGACAAGCAGATCGTACCTTAACTGCATGGACATAACTGGTCAAGGGTTTAGGGCTTTGCACTCACAGCATTTTTTTAGACGGTGGTGGCTAGGTGGGTGTCCGGGTGCTGATGCCGGGGTACCCTCCCGCTTTGTCCCTCCATGTCAGCTGGCTCGCTGTAATTAAAATGTGGTCGAGTTATGTAGAACTGCGAAAGGAAGCAAGGATCAAGAAACCCCCTCGAGGGGGGTTGGGGTGGTTGGGGGACTATACATGCTGATTCAAGCGCGTGATTGGTGAGCGCGCCCTATTCCTAAAGTAAACGGCGCACCCACCGCGCGCACACTGCATACACACCCCGAGCACTAAACCCCGAACCCTAAATCAAGTCTGCGTAATTATGGCATCGAGTTACAAGGGCTTTGACAGGGTTGTACAAGGGCTCTTCTTGCGGTTCCTAGAAGGGAGTTTTCTTTAGGGTTCAGGGTATGCTTGCGGTTCTACCGGGGTTTCGGCGGTCACACTCTACCGGGGCTAGGGCTTTAGCATTTACGGGTTGTTGACTTAGGAGCTTAGGGAGTTGAGGGATCCGGGTTTAAGGTTTCCCTAACCCCCCAGGTACCTACTATATAGGGTACTAGAGCCCCTAGCGCCCTATATAGTAGGTACCTGGGAGGTTAGGGTTTAGCACTTTTGAAGGCCAGCGCTGAGCCGCGTTTTCAGGTGTGTGACCACTGGAATGCTCTGGGATAGTGATACAGGGTCTGTGTGGGCAGCTTACTGTTCTTCTTCATTAACTGAGACACCGACTGCAACCTACCATCAAAGCCAGCGTGTCTGGTTGGTTAAATGTACGAAAGCTCTGGTTCAAAGCCGGATTTGTGGTTGGAGTGTTTAGGGGAGCCATGTTGCAAGACGAACAAGGCCACCGCCATGTTCCAAAAGGTGCGGAAGGTTCCGCTTGGATGCAAGAGGTAGGTCCTGTGCAGGAGTCCACATTTACAGCACCGCATCTTGGGTTCTGGGGTTCAGGGTTTCAGGTTTCGGGGCCAGAGGCAAAGTAGAATCGACTTTGGGTACGTTCGAGTATACAAGTGTTGGGACCATAGCGATTTTTGCAGACCTCTGCAAATTCTTGCCATAATTTTATTCCGGTCGGGTTTGAGCGCTCAGCTATGGGTTTCTGAGTTGAGACTTACGAGTTGAGTTCGGGAGAGCCTTGGGTTGGGTGCAGAGGGTTCCCAGCCCCACATACCCCGACCCTTGCGGCCGATCTCCACAAAACCCGTCTGCATCTGCCAACCAGGATGCACAGCCGTAGTGATACCTTGGCGCTACAAACTCGAAACATCCACAATACCCTGACCTAAACCCTGGCCCCCAAAAACCTGTAAAGCAACAAACTCCCAGACCAGCAAGCCCCCAAACCACAAACACTCACACCCACGAGGCCCTGTTAAACCTCAACCCCACCCCAAAATCAAATCCAAACCCCAACTTCAAACAGAACACCTTTTAACTTAACCCTAAACCCTCAAGCCCAGATCCCAAGATCGAGCCTGTCTTGATGCGTCGCGGCAGCGTCTGAGTCCTCCGGGCCCATGATGTGACCGAGGCTCCTTGTAAGCAGGAGTTATCCAAAAGAGGGTAGTCACCTCGAAAACAAAATACAATGTCATATAATATAGTCTGGTATAATTTAATACGGCCTAGTATCCTCGTCAGCGATGAAGGTCTTTTTCTAGATTAAGGGTCGACACTGCCCCTCAAGCAACCAAACACCTTAGGCACACAAGAAAGCAGCCCCTTGTAAGGACAAAATGCTGGCTTAAGTAGAGCCTATTGCAGAACCCATTGTCGGTTTTCCGTGTCTGAGTATAAGGAACAGTGCCTTCTGCGAAGCAGAGATACAACTATCGTCATGCCCTTCGACCTAAACCCACTGCTGTAAACTGCTACGACTATTCCGCATAATTCCCTTCTGCTCCTTTTATGAGTATAATTTAAAACACTACCCCAAAACCCTAGTCGAAACTAAACCCTAAACCCTAAGCCGAAACAACAATCAGGGCCCCTACATTGAACCAAGCCACGGCGCACCTATAGCAGTCGGGGAGTAGCTCTGTGACTGCTATTCGTAGGGCGCAGATTCAGGGTGCTGAATCCCATGCTTCTCCAAGACACATTTTACCGTGTTTCAGAATGGTCTAGGGTTCCGGGTGAACCTTCAGATAAGGAAGCTTCCGTGACAAGCAGTCAGAGTTTCATTATGTTGAAGGAGATTCGGAGAATCATGAGCCCAACTATAGACCCATTCAGCCGGAGGATTCATGTGGCAAGAACCGCGCAGAACGGGACCTGCCCCGCTTTTTAGGCCCCTAGAAAGCCCGGAAAGCCCAACCTACAATGCAGACTCCGACTCCTGATTACGGACCGCATCCCCGTTACAGGGACTACAACAGCGATCTTAATGTCCAGTTCTGAAAAACAAGGGTGCTTCCATCAGGGGTCTACATTAAGCCGAAACCGGATTTTGAGGTCTAGCTCCCTCCCACCGGTCCCGGACAGCTGCGATGAGTTCGCATGATGTGCATGTCCACCTCCGCTCGCTGCTCTGCGGGAGCGCATCGTGGTAGTCGCCTTTCGGGAACAGGGCTCAGGGGTTCTAAGATGTGTAGGGTTTCAGGCTCAACATCTATGGGTTGCGGGGTGTTCCCCCCAAGCCCTAACCCGGGATTCGGATTTAAGAGGGGGGGGGTGCGGATCAGAGGCTCTAAGCCTCGAAGCCTGTCACTGTAGTTGAGGCGGCTTCTCCTCCGGACCTCATCGCAACAACATAGGTGCCCGATAATCATGGGCTGAGTACAGGGGCCATGATACTCAGAATAGGTTTTGTGTTTGGGGGGGGGGGGGGGGGGGGGGGG